TATTGCTGTGTCCACTATGTTGCTTTCCTATATCGCTGACTGTAGTTTGGTAAATTGTTGTTGACCAAGTGATCATTAGAAAGAGTTTTGATGTCTAAAGCTATATCCAGTCAAATATTTTTTATTTTTTAATTAAAGTTTGTATAAAAGTTAGTTTGGGGTTAGAGTTAGAGAATATTTTATAATAAAATTATTTTTTCAACATTTTTTATTAATGCATCAAGATGAGTTTAGACAATCATTTCTTGTATTTTTTGTAATTTTAACTTTTTTTTGCTATTTTTTGTCTCTTTGGGCTAATCTGTATTAATTAAAATAAACAATTCTATTGGCTTTAAGTTATATAATAGACATGGCTTTAGATGATTCCTAATTTGATATATCGAGTTTTACTTCTAATAAGCTTCCAATTTAATATATCTGTAGACATGATCTATCGCAATTTTTTCTAAGGTTTCTATTAGTATAATTATAGCTGGTGAAGAAAATCTTTCTATAACCTATATTTTAAGCCAAAAACTTGCTGTCTAGTTAGGTTCACTACATGATTGAGTTGATATTATATTGATAAAGATAAACTTTTTATATCTAATTAAAACCTACAACACCTATCTCTTTAAAAGTATACTTTTTTATTGATTTACTTCTACTTATTTGTTCAGATACTATTAACCCATATTTCAAGCCAAGTTTCTGCTACCACTACTGGTTTGCTAACTTCAGAACATAATATTTTTTTTTAATATAGTGGTATTAGCTAATTTGTTTGTAATTCCTTATATGATGTATTACCAAAACCTTATTTTATAATACTGTTTTAATAATCTATCTTGATAAAGACCAACTTAACATTATAAAATTCTTTAAGTAGCAAGCAGTACTACTTCTAACTATAGATTTGTATTATATTACTAGAAGAAAAACCTTAATTTATTTTGATTTCCAACTTGAACTCTCATCTATTAGTTGGTGTTATATTATTGTTGGTGTATTCTGGTTTCTTTTGTTATTGACTTCTAAATAAATATAACCAAAGCTTCAATTTAATGCCTTTAGATATATTAGATTAACCAGCCTGCCTTTATAAAATTATCTTCTTTAGCAAGTTGATTTATAGTACTAGAGATACTTTCAATTTAAATAAAACTAATTTTTTACTATAACTTTTTTATTATTTACTACTTCTTTTATCATTTTAATTTTGGTAGTATTATATCACTCTTCTAAGCAAATATCTAGCACCATTTTTGGATCAAATATAGTATAGTTTACCTCTTAATAAAATCTTTAAAAATTTTTAAATTAATTACTATATATTATAATATAATTTTTTAAATTAGTTTTTTAATTCTACTTAAAATATTAATTATAATATACACAACTATATAAAATTAGTAAGTTTAATAGTTTTTTAAAAGAGATAATCTATACTATATATTTGATCTATATTTTTCTAAATCAGAACTTATATATACAATCTGTTGATTATCCTTTTAAACAAATATCCCACAAGTTAGATTCAGGAATGTTGATATTGCCTATATAGAGATGAAGAAATGTTGGTATTGCCTCTAAGTCATCCAACCAAAGAACTAATTTATATAATTTTCTACAATCTTAGTCTTCTGTAATACTGTTAATACTCATGATGCCTGCACTCTATGATCAGTACTTCTTCTAGAAATTCCTATTCCAAAACTATACTTGCACTTGAACTTTTTACAAGCTTCATATCTGATTATAGCTTCATAAGGTTATATTAACAAATTTGAAAATTTGTCACAAACCTGACTTGAACTGTTAACCTTGTCTGTGGGGGTTTAAAAACTTAACCAATAAGCTATAGGATCTAAAACCTGCTTATTTATTATATTATCTACTTATTCTATAGAATATTTATAATTTATTTTAAAATTATCAAATCTAAAATAAAAATAAATTTTAGATTTAGGTTGCAGATAACTTCTATAAAAACAAAGTAAAATCGGCATCCAAAAAAGTTTCAAAAATCAGAATATTAATTTATCATGATTAGGATTATGATAATAATATTTATAAGATATTAATTTATTTAGTATTTTTTTTTCTTCAATTTTTCAAAATGAAAAATGATCAACAAACCAAGTGATCTTTTAAGAGCATGAAATTAAATATTTTAAAAATATACATCAATTGCTGTAACCAAATTTTCACTAATAATAAATGAAAAAAAATTGTAAGTTGAAATAAAATTGTAAAAGCTAATCAAGAAAATGTAATTGCACTAGAAACCCTTGTAGATTTTATTTTTAATGCTTTTCCAGAAGACTATAACTCTGATTATTTATTTAAGCAAAAAGTTTTTATAATTTTGAATCAGAATGCAACAAAAAAAATTATTAGAGGAAACATAACAAATCCAAATAATAATAAAAACTTAAAACCATTACATAAATATAAAAACAATAATCATAATACTTTCTATATAATAAATACCGGTATTATATTTATTGGGTTTATTTGAAATAAACAAAATTGCTTATTGTTATTATTTTGTTAGTCTATAAATTATTTTTAGTTATATTTTTTGTTTAAATTATATGAATATTTGGTGCTCAATATATTTGCTATATGGTGTTCGAAACTTTTTTATGTAACAATTTTATCCCAGTTCTTCTATAACTTTAGAGTTAGCAAAAGCTTAGTCTAAGATTCTAATTTTAGTATCCTATAGATATAAAATTCAAATAATATAATATTTTTTTTAAATTATAAAAAAGTTTAATTGAATTTTAATAAAGATAAAAGCATGATCTCATCTTTAAAAATTAAAAAAAAACTAATAAAATAAAATAAAAATAAATTTATAAAATTTTTTGTCTATTTTTAATTACATAATCTAATTTAATTTTATAAATAAATGTATACTGTATGTATTTGTAATAATCTGTCATACATAACAACCGTAAATTAGCCAATAGTATTTAGAGTTAAGGTTTGAGTTACATATATTTTAATTGACTGTACTAAGTAAGTTGTTACAAATAAGCATATAACATGTTACAATTAGATTTGTTCTAATTTTATAATTATATCTAAAATTAAATGACACAGTCATCCTCCTCTATAATCATGCGGTTTGTTTTGTATAAAAATAATGTGATTATAAAATTTTAATAGTATTGTGATTATATAAAGTTTTTTAATAAAATTGTCAATAATTTTTAAAAAAATAGTGCTTATAAAGAGGGTAAGACTATATAGAAGGTGACTGTAAAGGAGGACGACTGTATTTGTAACACTGTTATGCATAACAAGCCAATCAGATTTCAATTTAGAGTTTGGGTTATATGAATTTTTAATTCTTTTTATTGGCTGTATTAAGTTAGGTGTTACAAATAAGGTGTGTAACAGGGTGCTACAATTATAATTTTTAACTTTATATTATTATTAGGATTAATATATTTGTAGCCATGTGGCTACCGTAGCCGTAACTAAAATAACCCTTTTTTTTGTTAATTAGGGTTAGGGTGAGGTAAAGATAGTATACAGTTGAAAGGGTGTGTTTTATAGTAAAATTTAGCAAGGAATTTTTTTTGTTAGAACCCAAAGAGTAGTTTCATATACTCAATTTTTGAGTTATAACCGTTTTTTGACAATTTTTGACGGAACGAACGTTGTTTTGAATTTTCCTGATTGTGTTACGTTACACCTGATCTTTAAATTTGATTGGCTTTTATGGGATGCGGTTACAGTAGCCATGGTTACAAATATATTGCTCCTTATTATTATTATTAGATTCTAAATGATTAAACCTAGTAAACATATTGAATATAAAACAATTATATCTATTATAATTATAAAATAAAATAATTGTTCAAAAGAATGCATCAAGAATAACTTAGTTTTGCTTTCAATTTTTGTTATAATATCATTCTCTTATTATTTTATTGGCTTGGTTTATTAAAACCACCTTTTTAGCCTAATAGAAAATGTTTTACACCATATAGTTTTTAAAATAATTGTAAAATTAGCCAATATAACTATTTTAAAATAGAAACTTAAATTAAAATTCAGAATTACCCTTTCAGATCTCTATGGAAGAACATATACTTTAATAATATAGTTGTTTGCACGTGAGTCTGTTTTGTCACCGCAAGTTCCACGTTAATCCTGATTAACTCGTCAGAATGGTAAGCTGTCATAATGATGACTTCAGCAAGATCTTCCTATTTTAAGGATATCAGGTCGATATTTTTCGATTATAGAATCTTTTATAAATTTTTTTTTTAATTGTACTAAATTTAATACAAATTGGTAAATCCAATCCATTAAATAAAAAGTATACACAATTTGTAAGCAGTATATTTGATTTTATTTTATATATATATATATATATCTTTTTTTTTTTTTGATATAATACTTTGAATGTCTATAAAAACAAGAAATATGATGAAAATGTAAATTATAAATAAATCAATAATTTTAATGATAGAAATATATCTACCTATCAATCGTTATAATATTATAGTCTTTTTTTTTTTTTTTTTTTTATCAGAACATGCAACACTATATGTATATCTTATATTGAAGTTCGTACATAGAATAAATTATACGCAGCACGAGTCTTTAAGATGAAAAAAATAAATATAAGATATTTATGCGTAATATAAGCATAAAATTTTTTGAGATACATACCACAATATCTTGTTCCTCACATATAGATGCACGACTATCGTCAAAATTATGCCATTCATTTCTATAACCATTTCGTACACATGCTGTATAATGACCACCATTTAATCCACCATAATGATTTGAAACAGCATATAAGTCATATATAAAAGGACCCATTTGACTTAAATTAGATTGCGATCCACCATCGCCAGATGTAAATACATATGGAGTTAAATCTAAACGTCTAATAGGAAAATGAACCATTGTATCAAGTTTATCTCTAAAAGGTCCATAAAATGAAAACCTCTTAAGATGAATCAACAAGATATCAGGTAATCGAGAGATGGAGAGTTGTTTTGTTGCACGCCTAGGACATTTACATCTAGGGCAATTCCAGGCATCATTTCCATCTAAAATTTCTTCTTTTATAAAACCTTTAAGACACATTTCTAAATATACACGCACATTAGATTTAATATTAGTAGGTATTGGTAAGGAAAGGTACATAAAAACGTCATAGGACGTGGAAGTCTTTCCACAAGTCATACACATCAATCGATTGCAAAACTGGCCCTGGAACAGGCTGACAACAATAGAAGAATTACGCATCAAATGTTTTTCCCAAGCTAATTCAGAAGTTATACTTGGAGGTAAATTTTCCAATTCATCAGCATCCTGAGGAGACGAATCATTATTTACAAAATTGTGATAATTTATATTTAAATCTTCATGTAAACCATCCAATAAATAAGCTAAAAATTCTTGAGAATCCTGTTGTTCAGATCCAGAGAATTGAGGAGCAAAACATCCAACAGCTTCTTTAAGAGATACAGGAGAGATAGAAACATATTGATCACTCCACATTACTCTTATCAAAGTAGCAAATTTATCAGCCAGAACACCTTTAGTACCTAAAGGGTTATCTCTATTTATATGTCTTTTGAAACTACCATCCAAAAAGTACCTTGCAAATGGTAAGGTACCGCTTAAACATTGGATAATAGAGTTCATAAAGCAAGTATTACCTAGATTTCTCAAACCGGTGGTGCCAATGCCGGAACCTAATTGAGAAAAGCTACTCTCAGAAGCGTGAGTAAATTTAGGACGTTTATCATTCATTGGAACAGGATTGTTAGTGGTAGTAACAGATGATATAGATTGTTGTCCATATGGTATCTGCGGTAACGGTTTTTTCGGAGGAGGAGGACGTTTTAATGAATTATAATCCGGATTTTTTACTTCGCTAAAACCATGGTACGGGTGATCAAAAATGGTTTTACGACGTTGCAAGCTACTACCAGACTTAGAAATTGACGAATCATTCGAATTAACAGAGGAATTAGGAATTGGCCTTGGAAGCGGCTTATTTGGAGCAGATATTTTAGGTTTCGCCTGATTATTCGTTAAATCATTAGATAATATATTTTCCAGTGGACTTTCTGAACGATAGGTTGGAACCGTATGCAGCGTTGATGAGTCAGTAGGTAGTTGATACTGAGAAGGTAACATTTTACCAAAAAAGATTACAGTGATTATTATATAATCCAACAAAGAAATTAAATTTTTAAATCACGATAATTACTTACAAAATCCAAAGTATTTAGCATAATAGAAGGTGTACGATTATGATTAAAATTCATAATTTTTCCAGCTCTTTTAGAAACGTGACTTTGAGGAAAAATTATCGGTCTTAAAATTGAAAATATAAAAAAGGGATGTTTTCAGTACTCTGTTTGTACTTTATTGTATGTATTGAATCATTTATATTATAACACCAAAGCATATTCATATAATTTTCATGCTATAGTTTTGCACAGAATATAAATAAATGATCTATACACCTGTAAAAATTTGACCCGGAAGGTTCTTTAACATATTGGTTTGCACCATTTTGCGTCGAATCATAAGGCGTATCATGCGTACCATGAGTAGTAAAGTTAGCCATCCCAGCCTTATCGTATATAGCAAATTGATTTGTCTGAATATTAGGAATATTAGGATTATTACGCTCAACACCAGTTTCACCTGTCAATTGTTCCCACGCAATAAATCCCCCGACCAAGAATACAGGATATCTTTTTAATGGTTTTTTAAATTCATTTTCAAAAATTGCTTGAATTAAGTTAGTGGCACAAGGAATTAATTCAGAACCGTAGCCATGATATACTACTAGATTAAAAGTATGTCGCTCAGAAAAAAGCTTTTTTTCATGTTCAGGGCAATTTTCTGAGTTTATTAATTTTGATTCAAGGGTTACCGAAGATATCCTAATTAGATATAATAAGATGTAAAAAAAAAAGAGGTTAATTCAGGGGATGGATATTTCCACATCCCTTTTTGGATAAATGATAAATGCCACACTTCCTCTAAATAATTGCAAAGATTTTTCAAGCTTTGATCGAAGATATCTTGGCATTCACCTGACCAATTTTTATTGAAATCGGTCAAGTAGATGCCAAGATATTTTGGTTAAATTGGAAGAAATTTTTTATTGCAGCATTAATAATTTACATTACGGAAGTGGGATATTATCAAAAAGGGGTGTGGAAATATTCATTTCCTTAATTTATCGAAAAAAAACGAAACATTGAAGGAGAAACTTTTTAATATTTACAACTTACACATCCTCTAAAAGGAAAGGATCCAAACATACAACATTTTTTGTTTTTATATGACCCTTATTGAATTCTTCTCTAGATCTAATATCTAGCACCAATATATTGGGAGTCTCATTTAATAGATCGCGCAATAAATTGACCTCTATTCTATCAGTAAAAGGCAAATTTTCTAACAGAGAAGAATTTCTTTGTGGAATCGTGATTGGATCAGGGTTATCAGGAGCAATTAAAGCATTAGACGATAAAGTCTGATGCGTTGAGGGAAGATTAGTCGATAAAGTCTGATGCGTTGAAGGAAGATTAGTCGATAAAGTCTGATGCGTTGAAGGAAGATTAGATGTTGACAACGTTGATACATCTGAATTCTGTATAGTAGATGCTTGCGAAGGAATTATTGGTTTGGAAGCAGCAATGTTATTTTTAGGAGTTTTACTGTTTCCATTGTTTGTCTTCAAGTATCTAAAAAGTCCTTGATTTTGCAAAAGTTTTTTTCTTTCAGCGATAGACAGAAAAGCAGGGTCAGAATTATCTGGATCAGACGAAGTAGACATAATAATTATAGACCGTTTTTTTTGATTGAAGGAGTAAATTTAAGTAATTTTTATATTTTTACCCCATAAAACTAAATCAGCAATGTAGTACAAATTGCCAAGTAACGAATGAATAATTGGCGCAATTAATAAATTCGGTATAAACTAGTAAGTACCCATCCAGAAGTACTACTCTGTAACTCCCAGCCAAATTTGCTTTATCTATTTTGAAGTAAATTATATTATAAAATAGCTAAATAAAGTGATAATGCATGATTATAAAACTTTGTGTGATGACATTCTTTCCCGAAACAAAAAAAAAGACGATACCATAACGTAAAATCTCATAATACCAATATGCACGTACATACGTACATACTTAAGAAGCGGTTTATAGTATAGAAAATAAGTCTTACATCTTCTCAGTATTCCCTTAATTAAGTGTATACAGAAACAATGAATGTTGCACGAAAACTTAGTTACGTTGTCTTGTTTAAAATAAAAAAATCGATCATTTATGTCATTTTTGTATAATAATATACGGCATGTTTCATTATTGTTTACAAAGAGATGCGTTATATCGTAGTTATTACAATACTATTAACAAATTATATAATACTTATGATAAATAATCATTTGTGCATATTAAAGTCAGAATTTTGAGCAATAATATCTTAATTTGGGGTACTATTGCAATGTTCTTAATTAATAATTGCTATCTCTGTATAAAAGTAGGAAATATGGGTACTATTCTTGAGGGTAATAAATGTAATGTTCTTAATTAATAATTGTATAAAAATAGGAAATATGAGTACTATTCTGAGGGTACTAAATGCAATGTTTTGTATAAAAATAGGAAAAATATGGGTAGCAAAAATCATTATACAAACAAGTCATACCAAGAAAATACCTAGCACTTTTGAAATTTCTGTCTTCTCTTGGCGTCACCCACATATAATTTTAGTCGCGCTTATATTGTGGTAAATGGGAACGGATTTAAAATTTCTTGACCTTAGCGATATAGGCACTAATTTTGATCTTAGACTAATTTAAAAATATTCTGATTATATGTGGTTACGCAGTTACGTCAAAGCAGTGTCGTAGCAGCCAACATTTGCCGTAACTAAGATTTTGGACATAACTCTGGTATTTCTGCATTTAGACACACGTATGTTGATTGAGTCTAACAAAGTTTATTTAAAATTTAACGTACAAAACTTAAATAAAACTTTTAAAAAAAAAACAATTGAGCGAAAGTTGTGCAATATATCTTTAATCGAACCCAATTCTGGTACTTCTACGCCATAGAATCTATACTATCAGAATCAGAAACTATTATTTACCGCAAAAAGTCCCGTCTTCGATGAAGTATGGGACTACGTGGTCAGGGATGAAAAAGTAAATTCTAGGCATTATTAAGCGGAATATTTTCATTTCGAAAAGTTGTGGTAGAGCATCAATATGAGCTTTAATCCTTGTTAAAATTAAAAAATACAACAAAATAAAAAATGAAATGTATTTCGAGCTAGCTAAATATAGATTCCTTGAATTTCATTTAAAATAATATACAAAAATCAGAGTACTGTTATTTTTTAAAAAACAATTACACGTCACTCTGGTTATATCGGCATCTCAAAAAATAATAAAGAAATTGTCAGATGTCTGTTGTTTTAGTTTAACCAGAGACATTTCATATTAAGTATAAATTATAGGTTCAAATTTTTTAAAAAAATATCGTTATATAACCAGATGTTAGTATATTCAGATGTCGATATTCAAATGTCGATATAACCAGAGTGACGTGTATAACAATACACATTCAAGTGTTATGTGCTAATGTTATGGCACACGTCAATGACATATGTCAACTGCTACGGCAGTGCATAATGTTTCGGCAGTTATATCTCAAGTTACGGCTATCGGGACGTTGCGTCACCGATCATATTTCTGCACCTATAGTTGGATCTTTCGCTTGGTATTGGTGTATTTATAAATCTTGGCATCATTCATTGCTTTTTTTTTTTTTTTTTTGACTATTCTCATCGCATATCATGATAAATGTCTAACACGAAAAAAGAAAAAAAAAGCAAATAACGCATTTTATACCTCAGGTTAACAAGTCTCTGTTCATTATAGATATTCATTATATGATAAGCATCTGTAACATGAAATCTATGATCATAAACTAGAATAATACAAAATGAATGAAGTTAAGTGAAATTTTAGATCTATACAGAATATAAAAATTTTAATTCGATCAAAATACAGTAGGATCATACTAACTTAATACCCTGGCTCAACTCTCTCACATGATTTTTGTCAGGAGGTAATTTGTAACTAGTTAGTACATCATTAGCCCAGTAAATTATTAAGTAAGATACCCCGATTTTTTTATTATGCGCATTAATATAACAGTGAAGCATTAGGTGAGACCAACTGGATTCTGTGTTTTACATTACCCCTCCAGCGTCCCCCCTCTTCCTCATAGAATAAATTTTGAAAATATATATAGGGCTCCGGGCTATTTCGGAAAATTTTATATAGTCACGGAACAATTCGGAAAATTTTTTTTTGAAAAAAAAACTTTTGAAAATTTTACTATGTAAACCACAAATCCCCCCCCTCCGGAGAGGAGAGGGTAATGTAAAACACAGAATCAAGTTGGTCTCGCCTAATTACAAATATTTTAAAAAATTATTGGTGGCTTGAAAAATTTACTAAGTCAATTTATCATCTGCAAGCAAAATATCGAATTAACCAATATGTCATTCATCGTTAATGACAGTAATTTTATGTACTTTTATTTTACGTAATTTTTTAATAATTTATTTACTTTTTTTTTTTTACCATCAATTGTATATCAAGACATGCTATAACTGAAATTGTATTGCCCACAAAAGCAAATTGTTAGCGACTATCGCTATCAACTAAATTATTAGCGACTATCGCTATCAGTTAAATTATTAGCGACGCAACAAAATTTCAAAATTAAACTTTTGCTTGTGTAACATTTATAAGTGCAAAGTTAATAGTTGTAACGCATACATTAATTAGACTTTTATACGACATACTTGTAAATAGTTAATAGTCAATTTGTAGTCTACTTGTATGTATAAATAGAGACATATAGAACGCTATGTATTTTAGTTCTTTAGTAAGTTAGTTTTTAGTGAGTTTTTGGGTATTTTCGTTTGGGTTCTAGTAAGTTTGGAACTTGCTAGGTTGGTTAGTGGAAATAGAGATATTAGTATTGGCAGTGTCTGGGACACAAATAAATACATTGGTTTAGTACTTTTGATGCCTGAAACGAGATAATAAATACTTGCTTTCGTCCCTTTAATGTTGACGTCCCTGAGTTAAATCAATAACGATAGAACAAAGTCTCTCCCACTGGACGTCACACGCCAGGGCGTAGGACGATTTTACTGTCACGTGATAGTCGGAAAACAAATGTTGTTAAGATAAAAACTTGGGTTAGAGTATAGGTTAAGGTTAGGTTAAAGTTAGCAAAGCGAACGTTTGTTTTGAATTTCTTCACGTTACACCTGATCCTGATCTTTGATTGGTTGATTGCGTCGGAAAATCATGTGACAGTAAAATCGATTAGCGACTTCGCTATCGGCTAAATTATTGGCGACTATCGCTATCGGCTAATTCTTAGCGACCATCGCTACCGGCTAAATTATTGAATCTGTAGAACTTTATTTGCAATCCAGGTAATTATCTAAATTATCCGAATTAAAGCTCTCGTTATAATCAGAGAAAGCTTATGAATATGCCTTCCTTACACTCGAGTGATTTCTTAAAAAAATTTTACATTCGATTGATTTCATAAAAAAATTTTACACTCAATTAATTTCTCAAACAAAATAAAAATGGCAGATTCAAATTCAATTGCTAAACCAATAGACCTCTCTGAAAAAAGCATTTCACTTTTGATGACATTCCCGATTTGACAGAAAAGTAATTATATTATTATTATCATTCGATTAATTAAAATATATAACATACCAACCTATAAAAAGTTTTTTTATTTATCTATTATAACTAGGTTGCAGTCGTTACAGGAGGAAATGCAGGAATAGGATATATTACATGTAGGGAATTGGCCAGAAAAAATGCTCATGTATTCAAATCCGAGGCTGGTAATCGAAATGTTGAATTTTTGCAGTTGGATTTAAACAGTTTAAAATCTGTCAAAGAATGCACCGAAAAGTTTTGACTAGAGATTTACCATTGCACATCTTATAAGTTCTATTATTATGATTATTATGAATTAGTTTAAAGTTACAAATTTAACCTAATTGATTGATTGATCATTTTTATTAGAATTAACAATGTTGGAATCACAACCAAGTGAGTAATAATTTTAAAAATATGATTTCTTTTCACTTGTAATTTTACTTATGGCTATAATAAAATTCAAACAAATAATGAATATAATAAAATAGCGCATTTTCACTTACTGAGGATGGAGTTCAAGAGGAATTTGGAGTAAATCATGTCGGCCACCTTGTAAGCAAACAAATTAATTATTAAATTATTGAGATAAAAAATTCATAATAACAAACTTTTTTTATTGACAGCTTTCATTAAATTATTATTGCCAAAAATTAAAGCTTCGCAACCAGCACGTATAGTAAATCTTAGCAGTTATGCTCATTGATTTGTTCCTGAGGATGGAATTGAATTCGAGAAACTAAATCATCCAAATGCACTGGACTCGATGCCATGTTATGGTCAATCAAAACTTGCAAATATTTTATACACTAACGAATTGAATAAACATTATCTTGAAGGAGAGAAAATATATGCTAACTCTCTTCATCCAGGTATAAGAAAATGGTTTTCACCATTTAATTCAAACAACTATATTAATTAACCATTAATTATTCAATTAATAATATCATTATTGTTTAGGGGTCGTAGATACAAAATTGATAAGACAGAACTATATATCTTTGTCAGAAATTTATGTTTCTGGTTCAATCTCATCCGATGATGGTGCTATTACTACCTTATATTGTGCTACAAGTCCAGAAATCGAAGAAAATAATTATCGTGGAAAATATTTTGAACCATTTGGTAAAGAAAGTGAAGGATCTTCATATGCTGAAGATTTGGCTAAAAGACTTGGGAAATTTGATAAATGAAAAATTACAAAAAAAAAAAAATTTGTAATCGTGGTTACTATAACCGCATCCCATAAGGCCAATCAAAAAACAATCAATAATTCGAAATTTTTGACTATGAAACCTTTTAACAAAAAAAATTTTCTTGCGAAATTTTTGATATTAGTTATTTTCCTAACATCAACCTCATTCTATCCCAAATTTTAATCGCAAGGTTTTATTTTTTCATTAAAAGGGTTATTTTGATATTTACGTATATTTGATCTTAGTTACATTCAATTTATAATTAGAGGTTCTAAAATACAGTAATATTAAAGGTTTAAATTGTAACGAAGTTTTTGAAAACATATAGTACCAATACTATTTATGTGACTTCGAAAAAATTATAAATATATATATCTTTTATTTTATAAGAAATAATAAACCTTGACTTTTTATAACTTTCCAAAATAAAAAATAAATAAATAATTCTATGACAGAAATATAATTTAACCAAACCAAAAAAAAAAAACACTTATAATTATTGGGCATTTGATTAAATTTGTTCTAAAAATTACAACAATGTAAAGTTATTACTAATAAAATATGGATGTTTTACTGTCTGGTTTGTAAAAAAAAATTTGTCAATGTTATGATATAGAACAAAATAAACTAGATTCGCAAAAGGCTTAAACGAAGCCGCATAAAAAATTGTCAAAATTAATGGTTTAATATTTCAACTTAAAAACAATTTTACATGTTAAATGTCAATTTTTCTTTTTTCATTAAAAAGAATGTAATTTTAAATCTTTAAAAAAAGTTAATTTTAAATTAAAACTATTGATAATTATTAACGTTAGGCCACTCGCTATATATCTACTGTCGATACCTACCTAATTGATGCCATCTGTCAGAGACTTTTTTATTCATATAGATAGTATATGCATTTTAGTTATAATAACTATTTTTATGTTAATAATTAAAAAACAAACGTTTTTATGCATTTAGAAAGTATATGCAATTAGACAGTATGCAATTAGACAGTATGCAATTAGATAGTAAGCAATTAGATAGTATCGACTGTAATTACTGAATTATTAATTATATATAATAACAAAAATTTGGACCGTATCTTTTTTAACATTTTTTAGGGATTTAATGTAAGTTGTTTAATAAAAGAATATTTATATGTTTAAAGAATTAGATAAATACCCTAATTTTATTTAACGATTTCATTTTTGCCTGCAACATTTATTAGTTAATTGAAACGGAGCAGAGCAATTTCTAGCTTAAAATTTTATTTATCTCAAACCTTGTACTAATTTATTTCAATACTGCGATCTTTCTGGTTAATATTAATCTAATTTTTTTCCCCTAACACTTGATGAATCTGTTTCATAGTGTCATTTAATGACTGAAGTTGACTCTCAATTGTATTTACATAGCTTGATAATTTTGCACGTTCTTTCATGAGTAATTCGACTTCTTGTTTCAAGTTTTGAATTTTAATTTCAGTGCATAATTCATTTTCGACAGACTTGATCCATGTTGGATCAAAGTCTTCATTGGTTAATGCAATTTCCTGGCTTGACGCCGTTCTTATTGTAGTCATCAATTCGCAAATATCTAAGACTTCTTCAGTCACCGTTTTTCGTAAAGTAGCCTCAGTAATATTCGCGGTAGGTTCTGAAACATTTACTGGATCAAGTGATGAACATTCGTTAGATCTTCTGTTTAAAAGGAAACTCACGTTGCGACGCAATATTTTGAAGTGGAGACATTACCTGTAGAATTAGGTGGAATATGCCGCATAGCTGAAGATGTACTAGCCACAGGACCTGATCTTGCATAATTGTCGCTTAAACATTTCAAAACCATTTTAGAGCCTCTTTCATTCCATACGTCCTACAAAAAGAAAAGCATTAATATCTCTAAGACATTTTATTTTTTTTTTAAAAAAAATAAACTTAATACGATACTTACACTACTTTTATTAAAGATACAGTTAGCTTTTTTTGCATACTTTGGGTCTAGTTCTCGAAACTTCTTTACCGTATTAAAAATAAATTTTTCAATACGTCTTGAAAATTCTCTTCCCAAAGCGCAATTTCCACCACGCAACCAACCGTCAAACCTTCTTGAGCCACTCATAATAAATGTCATCAAATCTTTGAGTTATATAAAAAAAAAAAGTAACTATAAGCAAAAAGTTTATAAAACTATAACAAAAAAAAAAGTTTAGCGATAAAAATATAAGGCTAATGATGAAATTATAAAAAAAAAAAAAGTTTAATATTACGATATTGGAGATATATGCGCTTTTGAACCAATTTATCTGACATTTAAAGTTCATAAAAGGTGATACAGGGCACTTCACAAATGTGAAAGAATATATTCCTTGCTATGAAACATTCATAAAAGGTGATAAAGGGCACTTCACAAATGTGAAAGAATATATTCCTTTCTATGAAACTATCAATGCATGAAAAGTTAAATGAAGACATAATAGATCCTTCTTCAGAATCGATAGAACCTCATCAAAAAAAAAACTTTTCACTACGATTATGGTTCAAAAGGATGTATTTCTCTCTATAAAGGCACAATATTATCATGTACTCGCAAAACTAGTAGCTCAACTAAATAAATCGTAATATGGCAGTTAAAAAAAAAGGTTATATCTTACTTCCTCTCCATGGTAATCAGCGTAAGAAAGAAAAAAACGCGTAAGTTCTTATAAATATATGTTTTTGTTGGATTCACGTGGGTGCATACACTTATTTGCGCAGGTGATGCAAATCCATAAAAGGAAATTTTCTGTGTAGTTCGCAAGATCAGGTGCAATATTTGTGTAACATAAGATCGAAGGTTTTTTTCAAAATTCGCCAGTAACTCAAACTTTTGCACCTTTTGCGTTCTAATAAACAAAATTCCTGGCCAAATTTTACTATACAACTCTTTTTATATCAACTTCACGTGCATTTAGCAAAATAACAACAAACGAATATTTACTATTGGCACGTGATTTGTATCACTTGCGCAAATAAGTGACGCCACGTGGGTGACGTTTAGATTACCCATATAAAAAATTGTTTATTTGACTTATCTATTATCGTTATATGAAAATCGTTGGATTACTTATATAAATAATTGTTTAAATTGTGTAACTGTAAATCACAACATTTAAAATCGTGAGTTTAAACATTTAATGCTGTTATTCTGTCGCGTTAATTTAGGTGGTTAAAGAAAACTTAACACCTTAGTATTCAAATAAATAAGCTATGAATATTTACTATTTGATTTCACTTTGTAGTGTTAATTTAGACGACATAAGTATTTATCGGTATACTCATGGATTAAATGAAACGATTAATGCGAATAAAATTATTGAAGGATAATATGTGATGGTAAATAAGTATTTGTGTTCCTGATTTATAAACATACTTTTTTTTTAATTCCAATGTTTAATAAATGTTCTTTATATTCATATGTTAGATGAAATGATTAATGCAAATTTCCTGGCTTGACGCCGTTCTTATTGTAGTCATCAATTCGCAAATATCTAAGACTTCTTCAGTCACCGTTTTTC